AAAAAAAAAAAAAAAAACCGAATGGTAAAGCAAGCATCCCATGTACTCCACACTAATTTGAAACTAGGAGATTAACAACTACAGGCTCACATGAGAGAAAAACACAATGAAATTCAAGAAGGGGGAGGGGAACAGGCAGGGAGTTCAGTAAGCTTTCATCTACCTATCATTTCAGATACAATGTAAGGGTACATGGCACACTCCTGGGTGAAGGATTCAACTACAACTGGGACTTTACTTTACATATACAAACTATGTAACTTCACCGTATATACCCTCATATTAATAAAAATAAATAAACTCCAGAGACAGGAAAGGACAAATTTAACCACACAAAAATTTAAGAAATTTTGCATGCCCAAAGAAATGAGAAAAAAAATCAAAAGACAAGTGACAAACTGGGAGAAAACATGTGCCCCCAACAAGGGATTAATATCCCTAACAAATAAACACTTTTAAAACTGAGGGACGCAGCACTATTTACAACGCACTTGGAAGCAACCCAAGTGTCCATCAACAGATGAAAGTTAAAAAAAAAAAGTAGCACATATGCACAATGCAAAGTTACTCAGCCTTAAAAAAGGAAGGAAATCTAACACATGCTTCAGAAGAGAAGGTAATTGGCTACAACACAGAGGACATTATGCTAAGTGAAATAAACCAATCACAAAAAAGGGGCAAATACTACATGATAACAGTACATGAGGTACCTAAAGTAATCCAATTCATAGAAACAAAAAGTAGAATGGGCTTGGCAACTGTGGTTCAGTGGCTAGGGCGCCGGCCACACACGCCAAGGCTGGTGAGTTCAAACCCAGCCTGGGCCTGCCAAACAACAAGGACAACTACAAAAAAACAGCCAGGTGTTGTGACCTGGAGTCCCAGCTACTTGGGAGGCTGAGGCAAGAGAATCAGTTAAGCCCAAGAGCTAGAGGTTGCTATGAGCTGTGACACCAATGATACTCTATCAAGGGTGAAACAGTGAAACTGTCTCAAGGAAAAAAAAAATAGAACTGTGGCTCATAGGACTAGGGGGAAGGGAAAAATGGGGAGTTACTGTTTAATGGGAACAGAGTTTCAGTATGAAAAGATAAAAAAAAGTTCTGGAGGTAGATGACAGTGATGGCTGCACAACAACACAAATGTATTTAATAGCACAAAATGGTACACTTAAAATGGTAAATTGTGGCTGGTCACAGCAGCTCACACCTTTAACCCAGAACTTTGGGGGGCTGAGACGGGGTGATTGCTTGAGGCCAGGAGTGTGAGAGCAGCCTGGGCAACATAAGGAGACTCCCCATCTCTACACAAAATTAAAAAATTACAGGCTCACGTCTATAGTCCTAGCCTCTCAGCAGGCTGAGGAGGGAGGATCATCTGAGCCTAAGACTACAGGCTACAATGAGCTATGATTTTACACCACCCTACTCCAGCCTGGGCAACAGAGTGAGAAGGAAGGAAGAAAGGAAGGAAGGAAGGAAGGGAGGGAGGGAGGGAGAGAGGGAGGAAGAGCTCTAGGAACAGATATGGAGTGATTTTTGAGACACACTGTTAGATGAAACAAGCAAACACAATTATCTATAGCATGCCATTCTTCATATAAGAAGAGGATATAAGAAAATAAACAATTATGTGTTCATTTGCATAAAAGAAACATGAAAATCCAAATACTAAGACAGCTATTACCTCTACTGGGCAGGTGGGAAAGGGGTGAAAAGAAGGGTAAATGAGAACAGAGAGGTAGGAATGAGGAGGGGCGACACTTCTCCGAGCATAGGTTTGTGTGTAGCACTGGTTCTCAGAACCATAGTCATGTTTCAGATCCCCAAAAATAAACAACCATATTCAACTAGGATGCAGGGGGAATACAAAATGAAATGCAACCATTAACAATGAACCTCACTGTCTGACGACTAATGTAATCACACTGAAGGGCATGAGAAAGAAAAGAACTACCTGAGTAACTGTGGAAAACAGTATCTTAACTGGATTCTGTGTGGCTGAAGACAAAAAGAACCGTGAGTCCAGAGTCAGGGTAGAGAAAATACAAAATGAGCCTGAAACACCTTGTGGGGCCATAAATGAAGTGCATGCTCAAAAAAAAAAAAAAAAAAAAAAGAAAAAGAAAAACGGTGAGGCCCACTGATAGGAGACAGATACCTAGAGAATATCTTAAAATATCTTAAATACCCAATGTTCACACAACAAGCAACAAAAAAAATTTAGATTATACTGAGTTATAACACTGAATTTTAACTCACAGAATAAAATGACTATCTAAGGTCCAAACTGATACAAATAAATAAGTAAATGAGAGCATGTATAGCTCTCTCTTCAGCAGAATTTCAATAAATGTAGAAGGAAAAAGATAAATAGAAAATACGTCTGGGCAAACACCACAAAGATCCAGAGATGTCTGCTGAAGACAGTGTGCACAAATTTGTAAAGACCAGAATTTGTGTCCTCTCAACTTATCTGCCCTAAGATACTTAACTACAAAGGGAAAAACAGTAATTTTATGGTGCAGAACCTGGTAGACACCAAGTAAACAAAGGGATCAAGGTAAATATCACCAGTAATAAGTTCTATCAGTATCTTGGACTCCATCTGATGCACTGAGAAAGAGCAGAAAAACAACATCTGTCATCATTCTAGCCAAAAATATACAACCTCACTCTAATCATGAAGGAACACTGGACAAACCTAATTTGAGGGACATCACACAAAACTGCTGATCAATACAGCTTTGAAAGGGTTAAAGCCAAAAAGGAGAAGACAAGACCAGGGACTGTTACGGAGTACAAGAGACTGAGGAGAAATCACTAAAGGCAACATGGGATCTTAGACAGGATCCTGAAATGAAACCAGAACCTTGGAGGAAAAATTGAAATTCAAATCAGGTCTGTAGTGTAGTTAACAGTACTGCACCAATATTAGTTTTCTGTTCTTTATAGTTGTATTATGATTATGTAAGATGTTAACCTCACATTAGGGAAAGCAGGGTGAAGAACATAGGGAACACTCTGTGTTACTGTTGCAACCTTTTTCTAAATCTAAAATCAGTTTAAAATAAAAAGCTTAGGCTTGGCGCCCACGACATGCACCAAGGCTGGTGGGTTCAAACTGGCCAGGGCCTGCTAAACAACAAGGACACTTGCAGCCAAACAATAGCCTGGCATTGTGGCGGGTACCTGTAGTCCCAGCTACTCGGGAGGCTGAGGCAAGAGAATCGCCTAAGCCCAAGAGCTGGAGGTTGCTGTGAGCTGTGATGCCATGGCACTCTACCCAGGGCGACAAAATGAGACTCTGTCTCCAAAAAAAAAAAAAAACAAAAAAAGAAGGGAAAGGAAATATCTATTCATTTCAGACTTCAGCCTAGCAGCTGCATTTTCTCAGAACAGTATTCACCAGTTTAAGCTCACAAATTTCCAAACTCTTCTATTGTACGGTTTCCTCAGCCAAGAGCACATGATAAGGACCAGCAGCATCCTTTGGGCACCCAGCAGCACCCAGATCCTGAGTGTAAGAGGTGGTGTTTCAGGGCCTGCTCTGGATCAAGAGCTGGGAAGCCTAGGTCTGAGGCTCCGTTGTGACACAACGCGGCTGTATGTGTAACTGAGAACGCATATGATGCTCTTCTCTGGGTTTCAATTTCCCTTACAGCATAATTAACGGTTTGGAGTAGACAAGAGTTCTGCAAGCTAACTCTAGCCCATTGTTTTTGCATCACAGGAGCAAAGAATGGGTTTTATATTTTTAAAAGGTTGAGGGAAAAAATACACAACACATGGAAATTATACATGTAACTTCAAATTATACATATTGCATAATTTGTATGTAGACATACAAAGTACCCATATTGCATAATTTGTATGTATACATATGGTTATATTTCATTTTATGTGTATATTAAATTATACATATAAAATTCAAATTTGTGTCCATAGTAAAATTTTATTGGAACACAGCTATTGTCTTATGTATTGCTTTTAGCAGTATCCACACTACAACATTGGAACTGAGTAGACCGCCTATGACTCTCAGGGCCTAAAATACTAAGTACTATTATACTTACTACTATTTACGACATATTATAATAATGTGTTATCAACATTACACTTACAACAAAAGTTTGACGACTCCCGAACAGGACCATTCTTAAAGATATTCTATTTCCAGCCACACAGAAAGAATCTTAGCCACATGGAATCCGACGTTCCCGCACCTACGACCTGTTACAATCCAAGTCCCGAAAGGTTAAGTGACCCCCAACCCCAAGTCATTTGTGCAGACACCCAGGCATGTCAGATGAGCTCTATCTAGCCATGGCCGGCCTCCTCCTGGGAGGCTGGAGAGTGGTCAAGATTTGGGTTCTGGAGTAAGGCTGACCCATGGGGTACTGTGAGCAAGTCATTTCACCTGCCCTCGGCCTCAGTTTCCAGCACTGTAAAAGGCACTAATAACAGCACTCACCTCTCAGGGCTGCTGTGAAGGTGAAATAAAGGTTGCCAGGCTTTGCACCAGGCAGACGCTCAATCAATGGTGGCTCCTGCCGTTACTGCAAACCACTCCGCTGGCCACAACTCAGGCGTGGCACGCGGGGCGGCGGCGCGAGCGGTGAAGCCCGCGGGGCAGCCGGGCCTGGGTCCTCCCGCTCTCCGGCCTCGGTTTCCCAACGGTGGCACTGGAGCTGCCCGAGGAACCCCCAGCGTCTTCACATGACTCGGTCCCGCGCCGACAGACTCTCCGGCCCGCACCCCAGGCTCAATCAAGCCGCTACCCTACGCCGGTGCAGCCCCCAGACCTGCAGCGGGGGGAACTCACCAGGCGTCTCCACAGCAACAGCCCGCCAGCCCGGAACCCTCCGCGCCGGCCAGCTGAGAGCCTGACAACAAGGCGTTCTCCCATTGGCTCCGATGCCGGCTCCTCCAGCCAATCATCGCGGGCCCACGAGCCTCCCTCTACCTTTCCTGTGGTTTTGTCCCAACCCCGCCCAAGGCGCGCCTGGAACCTGCCCGGCGCGCGTCGGACGAACGCTGGGTAGACAGACGCCGTCAGGCCGGGAGACTGATTCAGGGGAGTTTTGGAGGTTAAGAGCGCCAGCTTGTGGTGGTATTCCCGGCTCCATCGCTTGGCGCCCAGCCCTGAGCAGTAGCTAAATGACTTGGCTGTGTATTGTTAAAACCTGGGACAGATGCTCTGAAGGCAGTGGAAACTTGGGGAGCATTTAGAGGAAGGAGGGAGGAGGAGCATCCTTATTCATTATATTACCCGTGCCTCACCTCTTTCCGAAAAGGATTTGACACCCAAAAGGCATAGATACAATAGAACTAGCAAAACAAAGGGAAAAAAGAAAAAGACCCAGTAAATGAACAGAGTGAGGGCGGGTGGGTTGGAGTGGGATGGTAGTGTCAGAATTCCAGAGCTGAAAAGGCTTAAGGCTGAAAGAGGTTCGTCTCTACGGAATTAATAATAAAGCGTTTTAGGCACGGGCTTCACGCTGTGGTTGAATTCACAGCTGCTTGAGTCCAGCAAGGATGATTTTTAAATAGGAACGAATCTTACGGCCTTCTTTTTGACCTTAAAAGATAGTAAAATCACGATGAAGTTCTGTACAATAAAGCTTTCCTGATATGCTGGAAGTTTCAAAACTTATTGGGTCACCAACCTTGATTCGAGAAAAGTTAAGGAAAGCATAAACAAATGGTTTCAAACTTGCACAGACAGCAAAGCACGGTGGCTCGTGCCTGTAATCCTAGCACTTTGGGATGCCGAGGAGGATGGATTGCTTGAGCTTAGGGGTTCCAGACTAGTCTGAGCAAGAGACCCCCGTCTCTACAAATAAATAAATAAATAGTCTAGCTGGGGATGGTGGCAGGTTCCTATTGTCCCAGCTACTCAGGAGACTGAGGCCCAAGTAACTCTGGAGCCCAAGAGTTTGGGGTTACTGTGAGTTATGATGCCACAGCACTTTACCTAGAGCAACAGAGAGAGCCACATGGAATCACTTTTTTTCTGTCTTAAAAAAAAAATTGTACAAGTAACATGCAAGCTTGGTTGCAGCTCTTACCCCTAAATTGTGTCTTGAAAGAACTGCTGATGGGAAAGGCTGTCCAAGCAGCCCAGAGCTGTGTGGCAAAGGTTCTGAGGTGAGAAACTGTAGATAATGCAGGAACCTCGGGGTTATCATGATGCAATACTCAGGAGCACTACTCAGGAGCACCGTGGAGAGAGAACTAGAGAGGTGGGAAAAGGCCAGTCCTCACAAGCAAGCAGACACATAGCGCTCTCGCTACAGTGGGGTTGATAGATTTAACATGGGGAGACTTGATAGAAGACTGTTGCCTTGGGGTCCTACTGTGAGCTAGACCTGAAACTCATCCTTGGGCACTACAATCATTCATTCATATTCAACCCACAAACATTCCCTGAGTCCCTCTGGGAAGCAGGATACCCATGAAACATGTTGGCAGAGAGATGAGTGCAGAAACAATGAGGACAAGGAAAAGGAGCTCCAAGGTTTAGCTTTTTTTTTTTTTTTTTGAGACAGAGCCTCAAGCTGTCCCCCTGGGCAGAGTGCCGTGGCATTACAGCTCACAGCAACCTCCAACTCCTGGGCTCAAGTGAGTCTCTTGCCTCTGCCTCCCAAGTAGCTGAGACCACAGGCGCCTGCCACAACGCCCGGCTATTTTTTGGTTGCAGCTGTCATTGTTGTTTGGCGGGTCTAGGCTGGATTTGAACCCACCAGCTTAGGTGTACGTGGCTGGCGCCTTAGCCGGTTGAGCGATAGGCGCCGAGCCCAAGGTTTAGCTTTTAATAAGAGTCCTCAGCAATGGTCAGGTACAAACACAGCAGGCCCAGGCATTTTCCATTGGAAACTAACTTTATTAACTCTGTAGACTTCACAGACTCACATCTGAATTTGATGTTTCACTGGTGCCCTCAAGACAAGTATCATCAAATGTTTGTGCAGGGAAGGTGTCTACTATGGTGTCTAAGGGTCATGAGATGAAAATTCTGCATCAAAGTTCCTGAAAGCTACTGAAATGGAGACTTCCTTTGGGCTCCCTCACTCCATCTATATATACTCTGAAATTCAAAAGCTTGGTATGGTATTTAGATAGAGGGCAGTGGTGACATTCATTCAGTTTATAGGAACAGACACTACATTTCCAGGTTTGGTATTCTGGAACACAAGTTTTACAAGGTGCACAACTCCAAAGAATTCTCAGCAAGAGTTAAGGGAGAAGACGGAAGTTCTCATCCCTGGAATGCCCAGAAAAGGTCCCTGAAGCCCAGCCTTTTCTGTTGCTCTGCCTGGTATAGCAGACTGTGGACAGGAAATATCCTATCCCACCCAAGACTGAGGACTGAAGCCTTGGGAGGTCAGCAGAGTCTGCAAGAAGACCCAGGCTCCACCAGCTGCCTGTACCTCTGCACTAGCCTGTGCACATGGCCATGGAGAGGAAATCCTCTAGTCTGAACCCTCCACTGGAGATCTGAGCAGTCTAAACATATCAGACAGCAGCCCTGAAGACAGGAAACATCCTTCCCTCAGGTTCCCTGAGCCTCTTCCTCATCCACCAGCACTGTTGCCTACAATGGCCTGGGACACCCAGAAGTATAGGGAGGTAAAGAAGACATGTTTGCATAATGAAGTTCTCTTCATTTATTTGTCAAGAAGAAAATTGTAAGGTCACACGAATGTCTGCATAAGGGAGTGTCCAAAGCTTGTCTCCACTTGGTCCTCTCTCTGCCAAGAGGTCTTTCTGGAAGGGGCAACCAGCTCACCGATGCCAATCACAAAAAAGTCATAACCGTCCCTTTCTTGCCAATCTGCCAGGGCTCCAGGGGGAAAAAGCGGATAATAATCCTTCAGGAGATAGAGAAAGACATCATCAGCATTTCAGCTAACACCTCATCCTGCAAAACCCACTGTGAGATGCAGACATTTTGCAAAGCTGCTCATCACAGTAGTGATCTTCCCCTAGCCCCCTATAGAGTAGTGAGACTGTCAGATGTGGAATGATGGCAGCACATTAGCAAAGCCCACCCAGGACAGACACTCAACACAGCAGCGTCCATGTGTGTGTGCTGTACATGCAATCATCTGTGCCAGTCTGTGGGCTCAGAGGAACAGCCTGCCTCCCATACGCAGGCTCCCTATGGCCATGCAGTGCCTCAGCCACCTTTGTTTTCTCAAAGCCCGGCCTAAGGTCAGGCACACAGGATGACCCCCAACTAATATCTGTGGAATGAGTGAACGTGCCCCTCTCACAGAGGTGCCAGAAAGTATCCAGTGAAGAGGCAGACCTTGGGATAGCCTGGCTGGGAGAGGGAAAGCAATGTTATGACAGTCTCAGTCTTTCTATCTGTAAAATCTATTTAATGGGTGATATCTACTTCAAAGGGATGGCCTGTCCGCACAAAGGGAGTGTGACAGGACTTGTAAAGATCTATGGGATCTGGCTTGGCCCTGTAGCTCAGTGAGTAGAGCACCATCTACATACACCAAAGCTGGCAGGTTCGAGCCCGGCCTGGGCCTGCTAAACAACAATGACAACTGCAACCAAAAAAAAATAGCCAGGTGTCGTGGCAGGCACCTGTAGTCCCAGCAATTCAGGAGGTTGAGGCAGGAGAATCGCTTAAGCCCAGAGCTAGAGGTTGCTGTGAGCTGTGATGCTATGGCACTCTATCAAGGGCAACATAGTGAGACTTTGTCTCATAAAAAACAAAAACAAACTATGGGATCCTGTATATAAAGTACCTGGCACATGACAGCCATCTGTACACTACTTATTGTTCTTTTTTTTTGCAGTTTTTAGCCGGGGCTGGGTTTGAACCTGGTGCCTCTGGTATATGGGGCTGGTGCTCTACTCCTTGAGCCACAGGCACCGCCCTATTGTTCTTAGTATTACAACTGTCCTTCAGTGTTCATAGGGATTTGTTCCAGGACCCTCTCCCAAGGATACCAAAATCCATATGCTAAAATTCTTATATAAAATGGGATATATAGCCTACACATATCTTCCCATAAAACTTTAACTCTGCCACAGAGTAACAGGTTTGGGTTGTAAGGGCTTCTTGTAGGGAAGGAGGTCATTTAATCTACCCTGCCCCCAATTAACAGAAGGGGAGGTTGCAAACTGGAGATTGTTCATTTCCAGGTTTGTGAAAGAAACCAGCTATGACTATGCTGGGTCTAAAACATCCCAGCTAATGATCTTTTCACTAATCTGTGACGCTCTCCCAAGCCTCACCTGGCACCTGGTTGGGCCATAGGTCCAAAGGTCACAACCTCTGGACATACCCATAATTCCTTCTGAATAGCCTGGAAAAGTTCTAGAAGAGCAGACTATCTGGCTTCTTCATCCAGGTTTACCCTGCCAGGGTGTCAGGGCAGGTACAGCACCCAGACCATCCCACAGGACCCTTGTGATGCCCCTGGGGAGTGGTTACAAACAGCCTTCTCAGGGCAGTGCCTGTGGCTCAAAGGAGCAGGGCTCCAGCCCCATATGCTGGAGGTGGCGGGTTCAAACCCAGCCCCAGCCAAAAACTGCAAAAACAAAACAAAACAAAAAAACAACAGCCTTCTTAGTTCACAGATGGAAACACTGAGAAGCAAAGGCAGGAATTCATTTCCACCCTGGTGCCACTATGGACTCATTATCTGAGATCTGGAGGGGTCAAAGGTCCCCAGAGCACCAGGTCCTGATGTGATCCTCCTGGGCAAGGCAAGAAATGTATTTTCCCCCTGAGTGGGATCACTGCCTCCTGTCGCGCAGCGGTCCCGGTGGGTCCTCTCACTACCCCTACGCACCGGTCCTGGCCCAGGGACAGCTCCTTGGTGAGAAACTCGAAGAGGCGAGCGCTGTGGCCGCGGTTGTCCTCTGCGGTGCCCACCACGCCGATGGAGGAGACGAAAAGCTGCGCGCAGGGCTCCGTGGAGCCGCTCAGCGCCATGGACAGGCCCGGCCGCACAGTCACATTCACGCGCTGCGGAGGACACGAAAGTTGTTCCCGAAGCTGGGGCCGACCAGGCTATGTTTAGTGACCCGGGAGTGAGAGAGCCGAGACGCGCAGGGCTTGTGGGGTCTGGGGTCAGGGGTCTGGGGTCAGTGCTCTGGGCACAGGTCGGAGTCACAGCTGAGGGAGGAGGGGGGCCACGAGGTCATGGCGAACGGAAAGTAAGAGTTTGGAGGGCGGGGTATTCCTGGGGAGAAGAGCCGAGGTCACTGAGATTCAGGAGCGGCAGGAACAGAGCCAGACCTCAGACCACCAACCCCCCCTCGCCCGCAGCTCCCCAGCCCACGCTCACGTCCTCAGGTTTGCCCAGGATGGCAGCAGTGGCCGCGCAAAGACGTTTCTCCAGTCCTGCGGGCACGCGATCGGAGGGCAAGTTCGTGTCCAGCTCAACGAAAGGCATGTTCAACGGAAGAACTAGTGGCAGCGGTAGAGAAGTACCCTGCCGAGTCCGGCTGGGCAAAGCGGTCAAGAACTAGGGCGCAGGGGCGGGGCGCCACGGAAGCCAGGCAGCTCATTGGCTGAGGTGAGACTCGGCGCTTCCAATTGGCTGCGTCAGGCTACACCCGCCTCTACAGACAAGAATGACGTGCGCTAGCTCTAGTTTCTGAATGGCCCGGCCCTTAGAATCCCTGCCCGGTCCCTGCCCCGCTTGCTGTAGTTTTCCTCTGTTCAGATTTTTCCGCGTTGTGGTTGCCTGGTTCCTATCCCATATTTAGGTAAACGATCTAACCACCCCCCTAAACACACACACACACCTGTAAGAGCCTCCAAGCTCGACCCTACTAACGAATGTCATGGGAGTTTTAAAAAAATTATTATTTTTTTAAGATAATCTCACTCCATCGCCCTGGGTAGAGTGCTGTCCTGTCATAGCTCACAGCAAACTCAAACTCTTGGGCTCCAGAGTTACTCTGGCCTCAGCCTCCCAAGTAGCTTGGACTACAGGCGCCTGCCTCAACACCTGGCTAGTTTTTCTATTTTTTTTTTTTACAGTGTGTGTGTGGGGGGGTCTACCTCTTGCTTAGGTTGGCCTCCCAACTCCTGAGCTCAAGTCCACCCACCTCAGCCTCCTAAAGGGCTAGGATTACAGGTGTGAGCCACCTTGCAGGGCTTAAACTTTTTTTTTTTTTTTTTGATAGAGTCTCACCATGTCACCCGCGGAAGAATGCCTTATAGTCACAGTTCACAGCAACCTCCAACTCTTGGGCTTAAGCGATTCTCTTGCCTCAGCCTCCAAGTAGCTGGGACTACAGGCGCCCGCCACAATGCCCGGCTATTTTTTTGTTGTAGTTGTTATATTTATTGTTTGGCAGGCCCAGGCTGGGTTTGAACTTGCCATCCTGGGAGTATGTGGCCGGCGCCCTCACCACTGAGCTACAGGTACCAAGCCTGCTTAAATATTTTTTGAATGAGTTGCCACTTTTTCGAAGTCAGGCAATTTTGCATTCAGTGTGGGAATCTGAGATTCTCTTGAACAGTCAGAAGACCTGCTGAGGCATGCTCTGTAGCCTCTTATGCCAGTGGTGAGCCACTGTCCACTGTGGGTGGCAAAGATATTATAACATGAAAATCTGTTGGTGTGGCTAAACAGGAGTCTTTCAACAGTGTTGCAAAGTCATTTGAATTATAAATTTCAAGCAGAGTGGAACTCAGTAATTGACAATCTCCTTATAGTGACCTAATTTTCATAGACCAGACATGGACCACATGTACGTATCTGCCTAGCAGACCTAGTTCCTTATGTTGACCAGTTTGTTACACCCCCTTGGATGTAGGTCAGTTTACAGAGGTCCTACTGTATATGATTGATATTGTGTGGGTATATATGTACAATTTCAATTACACATTAAAACTATATATAATTGTGCATACTGAGGGAGCCTCCATTGGAAGGCAGGCTAACTGAGAGAGTCTGTCATGGTCCTGTCCTGCTAGCATTTTATCTAGCAGATGACTCAGCTATCAAAGGGTCTGGGACAGGCTCTGACAGTCCTGAGCAGAGAGAGCAGGGACAGCAAGTCTGGGAGCCAGAATGGGGCATGGAGAAGCCAGTGGTCAGGGTGTCGAGGCCTGGAAGAGCAAGGCAGTTCAGCAACATCTGGAGGACCAGGAATAACCACGGGTTACCCTCTCCGAAAGCAGGTTCATGATCCAGCACTGTGCTCCACCTGAGGGAGGCAGCATCACCTCGGAGGGAAACCTAGAAGATGGAGGCCATTCCTCATTCAGACATCTCTCCACCAGGTCAGCCCCCACCTGTGCCACATGCTCAGACCAGGGGCCATAAAGCCTGAGGGAGGGTGAGGAGCATGGAGATCTCTGGGCTGGGTCTGGGGAGGTCAGAGAAGTCTCCCCAGGGAAGCAACAAATTGTCAAATGCCAAAAGACCAGCAGGGTCTACCAGGCAAAAAAGGTGAGGTGGGAACAGCAGGAGCCAAAGCCAGGAGGCCAAGGTGGGAGGCTGGAGAGGGGTCTGAAATATGTTCGGCCTGAAGGGGGTGGCATGGAGGTGTGGGGCAAGGCTTAAAGGCAAAGTTCAGTAACCTGTGCTTTAGCCTCAGGGTAGTGAGGAGCCATAGAAAATTTCACTCAAAGGAGGGTCCAGGTCCAATAAATGTTTACTAAAGTGTTTTCCAGAGGTCATGTGGAAGCTGGAATGGAAGGGTAAAAGTGGGATAGGGAGCAAAAGGCCACAGACATGATGTCTGGAGGGTCCTATGGACCAGAGCCTGCTCAGACCTGAAGTTCTTGCAGCCAAGGAGACAGGCAGCTGCCACGTTCAGCCAGAGATGCTCACTGCAACAAAGCCTGCACCGAGGGTCGCAGCTTCTCCTTTGTGGCAAGGTCTGCTGGAGGCAGGTCTTTGAGCTTCAGGATCTCTGCATTGGCCTCCCAGAAGAGGTCCTCGCCCACTGCAGCCACCACACGCTGGTGCCACGCGGACAGCTTGGGTCGGCTTTCAAAGACTCGGCAGCCAGCACTAACAGGCTATAGGGACAGAGAGCCAGGAAGAGGGGCTGGGCATTGCCAAGCACAAGGCAGCATGACCTGTATTATGGCCCTCAAGATTGTATTCTACCTCCTCCACTCTGTGCTTAATGGGCTCAGGGGGATCCCCCTCCCAGGGAATCCTGGGAAGTTCCTCAAAATCCCTGTGGTGAGGAATTTTGAAACCCCATTTTATAGATGAAGATGCTAAGGCTCAGAGGGGGAAGTGGCTCACCTAGGGTTCCACAGCCAGAAAGAACAATGTGAGCTGGGATGTTGACTTCCTCCCTGGACACCCACTGCCCAGCAGGCCACCCCACCCCATGGCACTCACATGCATCAGCTCTGTGATGGCCACCAAGTCAGCCAGGGAGATATGGGGCCCAGTGAGGAAGGCCTGATCTCGCAGGAATTTGTCCTCAAGCAACTGCAGGCACCTGTCCAACTCAGCCAAAGTGGCTGCCAGGGTCTCAGGGGGCACTGGCTCACCCAGGAAGACAGGAAACATCATCTGGTAGGCCAGTAGGCACAGAGAGAGGTCAAGCTCTGCTGGGAGCTCATCCTGGTTCCCACTCTCATCCCATCACTACAAGCCCTCTCTATATTTCTCCTCACCTCTGCCCACCCCTTCCAACTCATGGCCACCAGCAGCCCTTATCTCCTCCCCAAACAGGGACAACCTCTACCTCTCTCTGGTCCTCCCACAGGACAGCCAGTGGGATCCTTCTGTGACCTCAATCTGCCCATACCCTTTCCTGCATAAAGCCTTCCATGGCTCCTCACTGCCCTGATGACAAAAACCACAACACAAAGCCCTCCCCAGCATAGTAGCTACCCTCTCTTGATTCCCACTCCATCTCTTATTGCACCCAAATGCCTTCTCAAATGGGAATGTGTGTGTGAATCCCCCTGGTTAAAATGCATGTCCCCAATCAGGTCGAGATGGGTCCTGAGACTGCATTTCCAACAATGAGCATCAGCATTTCCTGATGACATAATGCAATGCTTCCGGTCCATGGACCACACTTTGAGTAGCAAGGGTCTGTACTCACTCTACTCAATTTCTCTTTATTCTGCCCTCAAACACACCAGGCTCCCTCCCACCAGCTAGGGGTGGAGGGTCTGCTCTTAGCCACCAGAGGTTCAGGGAAGACACAGTTAAGGTTATGGAAACTGGCACCTGTAGCTTAGCGGCTAGGGTGCCAGTCACATACACCAGGGATGGTGAGTTTGAACCCAGCCAGGGCCTGCTAAGCAACAATTACAACTACAAGAACAACAACAACAAAATAGCCAGGCATTGTGATGGGCACCTGTAGCCCCAATTACTTGAGCAGCTAAGGCAAGAGAATTGCTTGAGCCCAAGAGTTTGAGGTTGCCGTGAGCTATGATGCCACAGCACTCACCAAGAGCTACACAGTGAGATTATTTAAAAAAAAAAAAAAAAGTTATGGAAACCTACTTATTGTCATGAGCAGGCCTGTTTTATACTCTCTCATAAACAGAGAGTACCCACTGTTACAGGGCACTGCATAAGTGCTCTGCAAATATTAATTTGGAGAGTACATTTCAAAAACATATGCATATTTGATCAGTAAAAAGTAATATGCATATGTTGTATTGATGTGCACTTATTTATTATTGAGATTAAACATGTTTTCACCTGTTTATTGACTATTTCTCTTTGTTCTTTAATTAAATCCCTGCTGGTTTCCTTTGCCTATCTTTCCCTGGCATCTCTGCCTGACAGGTTTCTAAGAACATCTCAAAGAAGATTTCCTTTTTTTTTTTTTTTTTTGGTCTGTGAGAAGGTCTCAATCTGTCTCCCTTATTAGAGTACAATGGCATCATCATAGCTCACTGCAACCTCAAATTCCTGGGCTCAAGCAATCCTTCAGCCTCAGTCTCCCAAGTAACTGGAACTACAGGTGCCCACCACAACACCTGGCTAAGTTTTCTATTTTAAGTAGAGTTGGAGGTCTCACTCTGACTCAGGCTGGTCTCAAAGTCCTGAGCTCAAGGGATCCTCCTGTCTCAGTCTCTGATAGTTCTAGGACTACAGGTGTGAGCCACCACATCCAGCCTCAAAAATAAAGTTTCTAACATATCTTTCTAAGATCTTTCCCAGTGTTTTGCTTATTTTAATCTTTTTCCATGTACAAAATTTCATTGTATATGTAACACCCATAAGTCTTTCCTTTGTAGAGCTCTTCCAACTGTTCTTAGGCTTAGAAAGTCCTTCCATACCCAGAAGTTAGATACACATTTATTGAAATGTTTCCTTGTTTCTCCCTAGTTTGACTTTTTTCATTTAATACCTCTGCATCTGGGAATTATGTGTGTAGTAAAGTGAAGATTTGAGATTTTTTTCTCCACTAAAAGGTAATATTCCCAGGGAGCATGGAGTGTGCAAAGGGAATAGGATTAACTTCTAGGAACTCAGGATTCAGGGCACATTGAGGGAATCACTCCTTGACTTGTGCCTTGGTTTCCCCTCTGAGAAGCAAGTTGGATGGATTAGGGAGTCCCCAGCATTCTAGGATTTGGTGTTTTAAGGTCTCAGGTTTGAACAGAATTTTCTCTCTCTCTTTTTTTTTTTTTCTGAGACAGAGTCTTACTTTGTCACCCTTGGTAGAGTGCCATGGTGTCATAGCTTACAGCAACCTCAAACTCTTGAGCTTAAGCGATTCTCTTGCCTCAGCCTCCCAAGTAGCTGGGACTACAGGTGCCCACCACAACACCTGGCTATTTTTTTTGTTGCAGTTGTCATTGTTATTTAGCTTGCCCAGGCTGGGTTCAAACCCGCCAGCCTCAGTGTGTTTGGCTGGTGCCCTACCCACTGAGCAACAGGTACTACCCCAAACAGCATCTTTTAAACAGAAATCACCATCCTCTGAGCATCCTGGGAGGTGTCCTCTCCCCCCCACCACACCAGTGACTCACCTTCTGCCACATAGCCCGGGTACAGCTACTGCGCAGGGCCGTGTGCTGCCATGACAGGTACTCATCCACGCGGGCGCGGGCCTGCAGATCCTGGGGGTACCAGTGGTCAGGGGCTTTGTACTTACGGCTCAGGTACAACAAGATGGCCACACTGAGGGGACATGGCAGGGGCAGAAGACATGGCCCAGTCACTCTTCAGCTATTCTGTGGGGCATTTTCACTCTCCCCATGGTGCAGAGGAGGAATGTGAGGCTCACAGGGGTTAGGTAATGGCCCCTAATCACATGACTACACTGGGCCAACCCATCACCTGAACTAAAGGCAGCAAATGAGAAACAAAGTGCTGTGGATTTCAGATGGGGCCAGGGGCTCAGGGAAGGCTTCCAGGCGGAAGGGGCACTCAGTGTGAATCTTGAAGGAAGAGATCCACTTACATACCATGCCCCAACATATCCAAAGCATGGACAGTGCCACAAGCATGGTCCTGCTTCCTCAGACTTTCCTGGGGCTAGGATAAAGCCTCCAGGTAACATAGGTCTATTCCTTCTCACCTGGTCTCACCTCCCTCCACCTGCCCACTGCTCCAGCCCCCTACCCCAGGAAGTTCTCTCTGACGTCTCCCCGGTCACATCTGGCCTGTGCAGCCTGACCCTAGAGCTCTTCATGCCTCCATGGGTGTGAGTCTGTCCACCATCCACAGGCTCTGGAACCAAATGGCTCTGAACGTGAATCCGGCTCTACCGTGGGGGCACTATGTGGCCCTGGTAAAAGGATACCTTCATTCAGCCACCAGCCTAGAAGCCAATCTTGGTTCCCATCTTTCTTGCCCACCTTAGCTCTTCAGCAAAGCCTGCAGCTCAACTTTCAAGAACAGTCGGAACCCACAGCCCCTTGCTGCACCACCATCATGGTCTGGGGCTCCAGCACTGGGTGCTGGGTGATTGCCCCAGCCTTCTCACCCCAGCCTGAGGGGTCTTTTAACATAAATTGGAGCACAGCTCTCCTCTGCTCAGAAGCCTCCAATGGCGCCATCCTCTGCCCCCATACTGCCCTCTGCCCTCACCGCCAGCTTTTCTAACTTACCCCCAGCCACTCTGGCCCCTGTTCCAGCCTGCACCCACCCATCGTCTCACTTCAGGCCTTCTTCCCCACTCTTCGCTCTAGCCAGAACACTCTTCACCACGTGCACCTCCATTCCTGTGGGTCTCTGCTCAGATGCCACCTCCTCCAAGAAACTGTCCCTCAACAACCCATCCACACCTGAAATGTCATGTTTACTTGGGTTATTGTCAGCTCACTCATGTAGGATGTGAGCTCCATGGGGTAAGGATGTAAATGTGCTCACTGCTCAAGCCCCAGGCCTAGATGGGCCTGGCCCCTGTGGATGCTCAGCAAATAGCTGCTGAAGCTTGCTGGGTGTCCCTGGGACCATCCCTGGGAAATAGCACTTGCCCCACAGGTGTCTGCTGCAGCTGCTGCTCAGTACTTAGTACTCTCCTTGCTTCCGAGGGCTGGGCCCTGTGATCTTGTGCAGGTCCCTCCCCACCCCAGCCTCAGTTTCCTCATCTGTACAATGCAAGGGTAGAACAGGGATGCTATGACTTATCTAGGCCCTCCCAGCCCTGGGGGCTTCTGCCCACCTCAGCCCACTGTCCACCCTGAGGCTGGCACAGGTCCTGGGCCCACAAGCCATGGTCCGAACCACCAACAGTGGACACACAGATGGCTGACTCACCCCACAAGACCCGGTAGCAGCCCAGGGACCCACTACCTCTCAGCCAACGTGAAGTCTCCATCCTTCAATGCTGGCACCTTCTTCAGGGGGTTCACCTGGGCAAAGGCATCACTGTAATGCTGACCTTTGAGGGACATCAGTGAAGTGAGTGGAGGGGAGAGCTCTTTGAGGTCTCTGCCATACCCTACCCTCACCCTGAAACCTGGCATTCACTTTCTGTGGGCCCTATAAAGGGAACATCCAGGAAGAGGAGGCCACATTGCTGGTCACTGCATCGCAGATTCTTAGGTCCACCTTTCCCAGGGCCACCCCCTTGGAGCATGGGGGGAGGATGACTCTGGAGCTATAATCCACCTCCCAGCCCGGGAAGATGCATCCATAAGTCTGACCCTCCTGCCTCCTCTCTGGGCTCTAGGCTTGTCCCTTCTGACTCGTTTTTCTTGTGCCAGGGGGAAATCAGGCTCTTCTGACCAGGCTTGGTGACCTATGACATACCAGAGCCCCAGCCACACCTGCTCCCAGCCCTTTGGCCAGCCTCATTCTTGCCAGGAACACCTGCCCCATTCAGGTGTTCCTCCAACAGCTGAGCTCTTCTTCCTTTCCTGTTCCCAAGTCTGACTCAGTTCTACATACAGCCCTCACCCAGCCCACTCACTGTAGTGCTGGAGGTGATATTACATGCCCAGCTAATGTGTATGGATCAGATGGCCTCATTCAAGCCGGGCTACAGAGGCCTACCTAAGGGCCTCTTTGCCTTTCTGGTAAAAGGCAATCACCTCTGCCCATTCCTCCTCCAGAAGCTGCCTCTGTCCTGCAGAAGGCAGCTTAAGCTAGGGGTGCCATGGGCAGTAGGTGGGAGGCCTCAGCTAAGCAGGGGCTTCCCTCTGGGCTTCGGCTCTGGTGCCTGTCCTACCGTCTAGTCATAGCCCAGCCTCCTGCGCTGAATTCTGCCCCAGCTGTGTCTTTCTCTGGTAGCCAGACCAACACACACTGTGGCTTAGGGTGAGGGTGCTGGTCTCCCCCACCATCCTGCCACAGGGCTCCTCGAAACCCTCAAGAATCTCCAGCTTCTAGGAACAGGACCTCCAGCTGGGTTCGAACCCCCATGGGTGAGAAGCATGAAAAAGAAAAGGAAGAATGACAAGGAGGACATAAAAGTGGAAGGGATAGAGGCAAGGGTAGGTAAAGAGGAGACCCTCTAGAAGGGATCCGATCTACTTGGAACAACCCTCTCCTGCTGGTAGATGCAGAAACTCAAGAGAGGAAGTTCTCCACTTAGGAGGCAGTTTGTTTTCTCCACGCAGGAGAATGGCTAGAGATATTCTGGCCCCCACTCTAATTCCCTACACTCCTCCTTCACCTGCTCCGCCCCTCTTAACCTGTATTTGGAAGAATGTTTTGTATTCACTAGGCAAAGGTCAAGGTTCTTTAAAAATAACTGATGCAACGGTTTCCACAATGGAAAGCCTGACTGTTCCCGTCAGTCTCCACACCTGGCCGGACTGAGAACTGCGCCGACGGGTAGGGGACCTTGGGCCCACCTTTGAGCAGCTCCACAGTGCGCATCTCGAAGGGGATGCTGTTCTTCTTGGCGAAAATGTAGACGGCGCGGCAGGGCTGGGACACCAGGTCCAAGTAGAGCTCCAGGACCATGGCTGGGGGAAGACGTGGGAGGGCAGGCAGATCTAGGAGGAGGATAAGCCCAAAGGACAACAGAGAAGGAGCGGAGAGCAGGAACCACTAAGGCAAAGCCAGCGGCTGTGAGCAGCCAGGTATGCCCCCCTCCCACCCTCCCGGCCCGGCCACGCCCTCCTCGTCCATTGGTTGGCTACGGAGAACTTCGGACCAATCAGCGACACCTCAGTTCTCCCGTCTTCCCTCCCGAGTGCGCAGACCCCAGCTGTAGTTCTACTCCCACTCGGGGAAGGTAGGTCATACCCTTTCCCTGGACCTCAATATCCACCTTCCAAAGGAGAAAGAGCATGGTAACGAGAAATGAGACGCCAAAGGCGCATCCAACACAGACTCTCAGTAAGGTGACCAGATTTTAACACTAATAAAGCGGGACACCATGGGGGGGGCGGGGCCTGACAACAATGCAAACTTTGATAAGCATTTCTCCATAATCAGTTCTCAACAATTATTTATTGTAAAAGTTTAACATTATAAAATTAACAAAAATAATATAAAACGCATATCCTGGCGAAGTAGCCACATGGCAGCCGAAAACCGTATATTCCCTTCCTGTTCTCCCGTGTTCCCTAGCTTGTCCTGCATTCTTTCCAAAATCGGAGCTTTTTTAAAACGCCGCGGGATGCAGGACAAATTGTTAAAAATCGGGACTGTCCCACCAAAAGCGGGGTGTCTGGCCACCTACTCTGGGAGGGGGGTGGGCTACTTGTTTGTTCCAGACAGTTTGGCTCCTTCTGAGAAGCAAGGGAGGGAGCCAGTTTCCTTCTGATACCTTGCAGAGGAGGGGAGTAGGAAGTTTATATTAGCTTTCTCATTTCCAAATGAAGTTACATTAACCTCTTCATTCCCAAGTGGAGTTACATTAACCTCTTCATTCCCAAATGGAGTTACATTAACCTTTTCAGCAGCCGAAAATAGTATATTCCCTTCCCATTCTCCCGCTGTTCCCTAGCTTGTCATGCATTCTTTCCAAAAATCGGGACTTTTTTAAAATGCTGCGGGACGCGGGACAAATTGTTCAAAAGCAGGACGTCAGGTCACCTTAACTCTCAGGGAAGTTAGGGTAGAAAGGCATGGGCTTCGTGTGGTCAACCCAAGCCCCTCCTCCCATCGAGGGATGGGGCAGAGAGAGGAGGGGCCTTCTCACCACGCCTGGACCCAGCTCCAGAGCAGAAGCGGCGGAGGAGGTGTTTCCAGCCCTGTGCTCCCTGAGCAGGCCAGGCCCACGCCCTGTGAAAAGAACGCACTGCTCCTTCCCAATTCCTGGGGTCATGTTCATTACACTGCACTTAATCCCTCCCTCACAAAGCTGAGGCCCTGTGAGGCCTATTCGGAAGATTCCAGGGGTGTCTGGGATTGCACAAAACTTCTCCATCCATTTTGCTGGGCCACATACTTCCAACTGCAACGTGGGGGCTCCTGAAACTTGTGGCTAATGACACCCCCATTTCCTAAGAGGCCCTCTGCTGAGAGAAGACAGC